GCAGAGTAATATGAGGCGCCTTTACCCCAGCGGGTCACGTGACGTTCTAAAAAACAATCAGATAGTTGGCATCCATGTCTTTGTGCGCCTGCGCAGGCAATCGACTGCCAGCTAGATGGGATAACCTCTAAAATGGCGCTATCTTTGTCCCTCTACTTTCCGCTCCGAGACTGGGACACTTGAGCCTAAATAACCGTACTTTTCAGCGCCTAGTGCTTGCTGGTGGAGGGTTTGGGACCAGACAGCCCAAAGCTCCCAAGACCACTGGGACTAGGACGTTTTCTCACATATTCGCGTTCTTTGCGGTATACTCGCCGTCACGTTGAGCAAACTGCGGACACATAACCCACCCGGCTCTGCTGGATTTTTGATCCCCAGACTCGCAGCTCTCTGGAGGACCAGAGTTGGCGATCCTGCCCAGCGCAGCGGTGGTGTCTGCGTAAGTCACTAGGTGCCAGACCCAGCCCTGTCCCTTACCCCTAAACGCACCCCCCCTTATTTATTTATTTATTTTTTAAGAAATCACCATCCCCAGAGAGTTCCCCCAAGATGTTCCCCAGGCTCTGCTGTCAGCTTTTCCATTTTTAGCTCCTGGGGCCAGTACTTTCTACAGTATACACAAGCCAGAATATCTCACCACCAGGAGGACCTACACCACCAACTGGTGGTTCAGGATCTTTCCTCCTTTGTGGAAACCTATGTGCCTTTTTCCACTTCTCCTTTATGGTAGGCTCTCTCTCAGGCTTAAGGTATTACATACCCTTTTACCTGTAAAAATGAATTGTCCCTTTGGCCCTTAAGACTGTTCACATTAAACTGACCCCATCTTTTTCAGACCTTTTAGTGCTCCAGCTCAGACTGTCCTTTCCTCGTGGTCCTTGATTACCAATCCTTCTTAAGTCCAAAGGAACTAATTGACCATCTCCAAAGTAGAGGTTTGTTAGCATTCTTTCCTCAGTCTGTTTTGTTAAAACGTTCCCAAATCAGGTATAAATTTTCCTTTGGTGTTTAGATTTAGCAATTTTATGAAACAGTATTTTTCTCTTTGTGCTATCTTGGCATCATGTACTTCCGAACCAAACAAGTCATATCTGATCTTTATAGCAAAAGAATAGGTTTGGCATTTGAAGACTACCTCAGTCTGTTTTCTGGATGCTCCTGCTTGGATGTCAGTTGTTGCTGCAAAGAAGCCCAAATAAGCCCATATGGAGAACTGAGAACTTTGCCAACAGCCCTGGCCGAGCTTCCCCAACTGCCAGCCTTGGGAGGGCGGTCATTGGGACCTTCTTTCTTCTGCACCTCAGAGAATGGAGTCCTTTTCCAGATGTAGTACATGAGTGAGGTTTGGGAAAGACAAATATTAGTTGGTATGTTGCAGTGGAGAGAGAATGAATGGTAAGCAAGAGCTGGTAGAAAGGGAAGAATGTTAATAGAATCCCCCTGAGGTAGACATTCTAGACAGCAAGAGGAGCAAAGAAGACACCTATTAAGATGAAGTGACAATATAAGCATAAATATTGAGCTGGGAAATACCAGGAAGAGTGGGTGGCTAGGTCCAAAGATTAAACAGGTCTCTTGTGGCAGAAAGATGGCTATCCATCACCTGTTGTAGGTGATTGGTTTTAAAAAGGCTTTTTTACATTATCTAAATACTTGAAAAGCCATCATACAAGAGCATATAAAAAATGCTTAACACTTATTAAATTATACTTAAAAAAACTTTAATTTTTACATTAAGAATTACACATTTCAGAAGATTTTATGATTCACCAGACTCATTCATTCATGGTAATTTTTGTATTCCTATTTTAAAGGGCTTGATAAATAATCCTAAATTTCCCCAATTGAAATCATTGGGTTACTTTAAATATACAGCTTAATTTGTCATCACTCAAATCATGAAGAACATGGAAGTTTACAGTCAAAGCAGCAGTTTTTAAGGGATAATTTGGATCATGAGCAAATAGAGCTCTATGGATTTCTTATTGCACTTTTGTTCACTTAAGAAACTATTTATATGAATAGGAAACAAAAAATCTTGAACTTCATAGAGCTTTTATGAGCCCGCATAAATGCATTTATTTAAGATGTTATTCTTAACGTTTAACCTCATTAATAAGTTTTGGTATATACAAAATACTCTTCTCAATATCTACAGTAGAGCCGTTATTTCTGAGCATTTATTCCTGCATACTCACAAGGATGAATAAGCATATTTTGCATGCCGTGGGATTATGGAAAACCATCTTGACAATAACAATAACAATAAGTGAGGTAATCATTTCATAATATATACATACATTAAATCATGTTGTATACCTTAAATCGATACACTATTATATGTCAATTATATCTTAATGGAAAAAAGTAAAAGAGCTTTGGCATATAGTTGGAAAACAAATATCCTGGAACTAAAAAAATATTTCCAGCTAAGTGTTTAGTCTGTCTTGGCATAACTACAATGAAAATGTTCTAATAGTAACCTCAGTGAATCATATCCCCAAAATATGGAAGCTAGTGGTTAAATGGGGCTGAAAGGAGATTCCTCACAGGCAAAAATTTTTACCAAACCAGAGTGTCAAAGAGTTCTATTTTTCTGAAAACATCAAAAACTATCATGATGTGTTGGACTTTGACAGTGATTCTTGAAGGTATTTAGAAGTTAAAGGCACTGGTTCTGTAATATAATTGTATGTACAATATTGTGAAGTTAATGAAGAGAATCTCCTCACATCAAAAGCAGAATTTTAAAAATCTATCTTGGTTCCTTAACTACCCCAACATCCCAATAAAAGCAGGGAGAAAAATCTTGATCATCTCTACTCTTGATCATCAAGGGAAGACACAGGGAAAATCAAAATTGTAATATAAAGGAAGATAGTGATGGTTTACATCATGTACCCCACCATTCTTCCAGAGGTCATATGCAGTTATTTTTTTTTTTTTTTGCTGATAATAAAATATGAAGCACACAGTCTCACATAGTGAGTCAGCCCAAATTACTGTAACCTGCCATGGTAATACCTACTCAGAATCCATCAGAACACAAGAAATACAAAGCTATATGCTCAGAAACACAACAGCCAGCCTCTAAAAAAGAGCAAAAGAGAAAATCTACAGAGTCATTTCTTCAAAGAATCTAATGAGGTTAAAATATATTAACTAAAGGCAGAATATTAAAATTTGTTACTCTCCTGTAAAATATACACAAGTATTTGCATGCTAAGAAAACACCTTTCCTAGTTCGTGAACAGCTGTCATTTAATGAGCACCTGCTAGATCAAATATATGGTAGCTGAATGAAACTGGACTCTGGTAATCACACAATAGAATATATAGATGTCAAATTATATAGTACACCTGAAAATTTTATAATTGTATTAACCAATGTTACCCCAGTAAACTTAAAAAAATAAAATAATGAGCATCTGCTAGATACAGAGCACTTTCCATGTCAGCTGGGGTTAGCATTCACAATTCTAAGCTAGGTAGAGCAGAGACTGGTCATAGACATAGTTCAGTATAACTGTTACAACTCCTTTGGATACAGATGGAAACCCCAATAAAAACTGGCTTAAGAAAAAGAATTTGTTGGATTACATAAATGCAAAATATTTTTAATAAGGAATCTTTTTTTAATGATTTATTTTTATTATTAGTTATTTAATGTCTATATTTTCCAGAATGCAAAGGAAAATTGGACTTGAACCTGTAACTTGCTATATCATTACTATTATCAGCAACTGAGGAATTCATTTTTTACAAGTAGTTAGTGTACCTAAAGTAATTTCAAAGGTAATTCATCTACATAATAGGTTTCAGAAGGATCACAGCTATCCTGCAACTGTAGTTCATTATCAGAACTAAATAAATCATTCTATCAGACAACAATATTGTTAATTTTAATTACAATTAAAGGTAATTCTACTTTGGGGACATAATATAGTTGTCTGGGTCATATTTAGTCAGTCTCCTAATTCACCTACTTCAATCGTCAAGACTGTGAAACAAGTACAATATAACATTTGTTATATATCATATAGTGCTTTACACCTTTGGAAATGCTCTCATTTTAAAAAAACACTATTCGATGTGTATAACAACTCAGGTCAACAGGACTAGCATAGCACCCTCATTTTTCAGGTGAATAAACTGAGACGCAGTTATACTTTGTTAAGTAATTTTAACTTAGAAAAATCACACAACTGGTAAATACAAGAAATGGGTCTGGAATGTAGACCTTCAAATTTCCGGTCCAATCTCCCATTATACCAAGAGTAAATACTAGTTAAGAGGGCAGACCCCGGCTCTCTGAAACTTTGAGTAAATTAACCTCACCATGGGACAATTTTTCTGTAAAATGGGAATCATAAATAGTACCTACTTCACTAGGTAATACTTCACTGGGGATAAAAGATGCTAATACCTGCAGAGCACCTAGAACAGTGCTTGGCAAATAATAATCTCTATAAATGTTAGCAATTCTACCATATCACCTTAACTCCTAATAAGATGGAAGTCTCCATACACCTTATTAATAAAACACCCAATTAAGCACACAGGTAGGGCACGTCTCAGAAGTTTTGTAGGTATGGGAAGAGTAGAGAGTAAACCTTACTTTTTACTCCCAATATTCCAATTATCTTTGGCTTAATTTTTATTTCCACAGTGTCCTTCCAACAAAGTAAACATGTAAAAACTGTATTAAGAACACTTGCCTGGGACTGGAGATCACCAAGGCCTTCAGTTACTAAAGAAGCTGAAACCAAGAGTATTGAAACACTGAAAAAGGACACACCAATCAATGTGTAACATAACTTAAAATAACTAAGCAATTAGTCTCAGCCCAAATCCGCTGATTAATATATGAAGTCATCTAATATTCTTAGCATGAACTACTTTAAGTTAAAGCCCCAGGGAGAT